CTTCTTATATAAAAACAATTGGAAACATATCTTTAGGTGCCAATTAACTAAATTTCCTGGAATTATAAGTCTGGGATCCGATTTCTGAAGCCATTGATATGAAAGTCAAGATTATATTTGGGTAAATCAACATCATCCATTTTTAAGGGTACAGAACCCTGGAGGATGGAACTTAATCACCGTCCTTTTGTCCAATTATGTTTTCTTGAGCTTTCAATCTCAATTTTTGGTTTATGTAAGAATACAAGCTTATCATTTATTTTATCTTTTTCCAGACACTACGTAACAAAATGGGTTCTATAGTCTCATTCAATTTGGGACGACCAGATGGATCTTGGGTTGGACACCGTGAAGTGGAAAAACTGGCCTCTTTGTCTGGGATTCAGTTAAGGGTAAATTTTTGCAATATACTGTTTAAGTTTTTATGTTTCCAATTTGCAGTGAAAATTATCATTAATTAATTTTTAATTGATTTATTCTCATTTTATTTTTATTCTTCTTGATTTCCTCCGGTGGTAAATATGAAGGTTGATACTTTATGCTTATAAAGATACACGAGAGATAATTGTTTAAGCTGTTGTATTTTTGCTCATTAGGTAGTATATTGCAATTATATATGTATATCTTGTTGAATCACATTTAAGCTGATGGGACCATGCTAGAATTCTCACTTCGTACTTGGGTGAAAGTTGATTATTCTTAAATATTTATATTAAAATTGTACTTAATTGTTTTGGTAGGTGCTACTGACCATACCTTCATTTGATTTTCTGTGTAGACAGGATGTTTCTGTAATCCTGGAGCCTGTGCAAAATATCTTGGTCTATCTCATTTGGATCTTGTTACAAATATTGAGGTAAATCTTTTTCTTCCTACTTCTGTATGTGGGTTATACAATAATTTTTAAATTTCATTTGTCCATTTGACTTCTACAATTTCTCGTGTCTTTATTAATTGACTTCTTGGTCCAGGCAGGTCATGTCTGCTGGGATGATTATGATATAATTAATGGAAAACCAACTGGTGCAGTGAGAGTATCCTTTGGATACATGTCAACTTATGAAGATGTCAAGGTAAATTAAATCATCTATTTTTGGTTCTAACAATTCTTTTGGTCATATGACATACTTGAAACATTGTAACTGTGGGGTGATTTTTTGGCTTCAAGGAACTTTTAGTGCTTATTAGCTTGCAAGGACACATAATTTAGACATACCGGCTTATATACATAATATTGAATTTATTTTTGGTTTTCTCAACTCTCATACAAAAATTGTCTTTTGAATTGCAGAAATTCATTGATTTTGTGACAAGTTCCTTTGTCTCGATCCCAACTTATGCTAGACATGGATTACAGTTTTGCAGAAGGTCCATCCCTTTCACAGACACAGGTTACTTTTCTATCATTCTTTCAGTCATAAGCTCATTAAATTCAATTTAAATGATTTAATTTTTGGTTGTTCTCATATATATTTATTACCATTTTCTTTAATTAATTTATCATATAGATATTTTCATAAAAGTTAATTATTTAAACTAATAAATAATAAATATATAATCTATATTTTTTGACATAAAAATATAGACTTCTAAATTAATTATTTAATTATTATTATTATTATTTTGATGAAATAATAAAAAGTGAATAATCCTTCCTATGGGGAACTTGATCTCTATTAGGCGATTTATTAAACTTATCCCAATTTCTTGAAATCAAAAATGGGGTGCAAATGAGATTAAAAAACACTTCAAAGTTGGAGATGGAGAGTACTATCTCACCTTTCCTCGCACAGTACAATGCTTCCTACCATTGACAACTTTGGGTATGCCCATGCTATATTTAATTCTTGACATTGTTGAGTATCTCTCTCTTAGATTTATTCCCTGTCAAGATGCAGCTTGCAGAAGTATTATTTAAGTCAGTCAAATCTATCTATGCTGCTTCATGGTTCCCTGTACAGTCTCATGAGGCTAAAATACCGAGCTGCACTGCACCTTGATTAAATATCTACTGGTTCTGTTTGTAATTACATATTTTTATGTTAATTTATCCCAGGTCTTGAGAGCAGATATTCAGCTTCTGGATTTAACCTCAAATCTATTGCTGTCTATCCAATAAAATCATGTGCAGGATTCAGCATAGATAGATGGCCATTGAGCAGTCGAGGTATCCATTTACTCATGCATGTATTTTTTTGCATTTTGATGAGAATGGTTAACTGTTAACACAAAGGAATTCTTCACAAGACTCTTGATCGCTGCTTGATGCCTCTCTTGGAGTACTTGAAAATTCATAGGGACTAGGAGCAATACGTTTACACAATAAATATCTGATTTAAAAATTTGTAGAAAAGACATTGATTATAATTAGCTTTGATAAAAGCTAAATGACTTGTTGGATGCTTGAGATAACGCTTTGTTTATCATCCACAGAGGGAGTAATAGAACGAGATAGGAAATTAAAGAAATGTTGTCAATTACTTGTAACGTTCCTGGTTTCTTTAGGTAGTAGAACATAAGTTTGTGTCAGGGGATCTGCAGAATTTCACAATAATTAGATACCCAACCCATGAACCTGTTTGGTGGGTGAGGGGTGAGGGTGGGAGGGGTGCTGATATGTTGCTGTGACCTGTGTCAAGCTTGACATCATCAGTGTTTTGGTTAATTAATTTTCTTTTCCTCTTTCTTTCAGGTTACTCCAATATAGCTTCCTAATATCTATGTGCACATATAGGGATGATTATAATTTTTGGTATGGTTCTATTTATTTTTTCTAATTTAGCAATTTATTTAAATTGTCTCTTAAATTTGAGTAGGGCTGCTTCATGATCGGGAGTGGCTACTTCAAAGCCTGACTGGTGAAACTCTTACACAGAAGAAGGTCAGCTATTATTCTTCATCAACTCTTCCTTTTTCACATATTTTTGTTAAGGTAATGAATTCCTCACCATCACAAGGAAGTTGATAGCTGAATGAAAAGGCAGAAACAGCATTTATTTGCTCAAATATTTGTGAATTTCAGTCATACTCCAATTCCATGGGTTTTATTCTTAGTTCTGTTAAAGCTTTCACGTTGTGCTCAAAATTTGCTGTTACAAGGCTTTTGGATGGTTTTTTATTAAGCTGTTCACCAAAATCATGGTTGATGACTTTTATTTTTGTGCTATCTTCTTATTAATTGTACTAATTATTAAATTTACCATCCACTACATGACTACATCTCTGGATATGTTTCTTTAAATTCCACTCCCATCCTTTCTGAAATGCTAGGAATCGAGTACCCGTAGTTTATCCCTCAGACATTTAGAATATATTATATTAGTTACAGTCAAGTTCTGCTGTTCCTTAAGGTAGTTACCATTACGATGCAACAAATATCCACATAATATATTTTGGTTTGTATATATTAAATGTAGAGTAGCCTTCACTGAGCTGAAATGCTGTAGTTGTATTATTATGACATCATTCCCTAAAATTCTAAGATTTGAATACCACTGTTATTTAACAGCTATATTTAATTTATTATCTTTGTTTGATGATAAGGAAAAATTTTCATTTCTATAAGATTAGTAATGGGATAGGGAGAACTGATATGCCTCCTACTAAAATGCTAATTTGGAGGGAAAAATTTGCTTGCCAATTGTTTAGAGGCCTGATAGAAGGGAGATTGTGTGAACTGTTTTTTTTCTCATGAGGATCATGAAACGTTGAAATGTGGGTTCAGCTCCAAACACTTGCCACTCATTCCAAATGTCCAAAAGGGGTTGCAGACACTTATCCAAAGAGCCCCTACTTTACCCTTGAACATTAGGATTTGCATAATTTGAATTAACTCGTAGTTACACCTCCCGTAATGACCCAAGCAAAATGAGAGAATCAAGGATTTATGAAAAAATCCCTTAATTGATCGCTAGTCCAAATTCTAGAATGTAGAGAATTTAAGGATAAAGCAAAGTTTCCAAGGGAAGATCATAGTTCTCCCCATGACTTAATCTATACTTTGACATAGTCATGGGGATTTCTTCGAAGTGTGAAAATTATGTAAGTCTTAAGACACTGGAAGTGATTTTATTTGACATGCTAGATCTAGAGAACCTGTTTCCTTGTTACCTTTTACTTGAATCTCAAGCACATTGTTGAGGGTTTCATGCTCCTTTTAACTTCGTTCTGAGAAATTCTGATACTGCTTAGATAATAGACCTTCATTCTTGTTCGACCTCTGATAATTGGGTTTTAATTCGTCTGAAATTGGTTTTTTAGGTTCCTGAAATGTGCCTTGTAAGTACTCATATCGACCTAAGTCAGGGAATATTGTTTATCGACTCCCCACATTGCAAAGAGAGACTGCAGATCACCCTTAATTCAAATCCTTGCAATGCCAAGAGAGAAGAAATAAGTTTACACGGTCAGATGTGAGTAATACCATGTTGTAGAATTTTAAATTTCATGGCCTGACATGTTGGTAATTTTCTTCGTGCCTGGCATGTTTGGTAGTTTTCTTTCTGATTTTTGTTTCAAGAGACTGTTGGAAGAAGTTTGAAATTTGCATATACAAGTTCATGTTTATTCTTTTTAGCATTTAAGGTTGGAATTAATTTTAGCACCTGAGTTGGAATTAATTGTTATTCTGATGCTCAGATATGAAGTTCAGGGTTATGACAAGGAAGTTGATGCTTGGTTTAGTGCTGCAATTGGTCGGCCATGTACTTTGTTGCGCTATTTAAGTTCCAGTCATTATGTCAGCTTGGATAAGAGAGATGTTGTTGGTTCCTGTAGAGAATCACGGACTCGTTTGAATTTTTCCAATGAAGCACAGTTCTTGCTGATATCTGAGGAGAGTGTATCAGACCTCAATGATAGATTGAATTCAAGTAGGTTATTGGTAATATGATACTTGCAATCCTGCTATGAAGCATTTTCAGTTATTGATTGTTCTCTGTTCTGTCCTGGTTAAAGTGGCTTCTCAGTTTGACATGCTGTTGAAGATTTTTAAACCTAACATTTAGATGTGGACCTAGCTTTACTAAATTCTGAATTAGGTGATGATCTTAAGTTGCATTGTTTTTAGGAGATGTTGGAAAGGACATTCGTAGAACATCAGTTCGCGTTAACCCTACGCGGTTTCGGCCAAATCTTGTCATTTCTGGAGGGAGACCTTACGCTGAAGATGAGTGGAGAAATATTAAAATTGGTAACAATAAGTACTTCAGAGTAAGTTCTTTTTACAATCGATGGCAGTGATATTCAGGTCTCTTTTCAATTTTAGATTCATAATAAGTCACTTTTTTGCAAATTATGCACATGCATGTTCTGTAACGTCTGCTTTCATTTCCAGTCTTTAGGTGGATGCAACCGCTGCCAGATGATCAATTTTTATACTGATGCTGAACAAGTCCTGAAGACAAACGAACCTTTATCTACTTTAGCATCATACCGGAGGGTGAAGGTTAAGAATCAAATTTTCTTTCTTTCTTTCTTTCTGGGTCATTGTAAAATCTGAAATCCTAACATCAGGTTAACAAAACTTATTCCATTGAAGCAGGGGAAAATCTTGTTTGGGATACTGCTGAGATATGAATTTGAGGCTGAAGAAGGGAAGACCCAAGATTTGTGGCTTCAGGTGGGAGAAAGTATAATTCCAGATTCCGAGTAGGTTCGAGCCATACCGCGTACACATACAGACTAGGTAAAGTGTTTAAGTAGGGAAGATATCTCTTCTGTGCATTAGTTTAAGGATTTTCTCTCTGCCCAAGTATTCAGGTCTAAAGAAATCCCGATAAAACTTAAAATAAAATGCATCTTCCTTTTTTTTTTTGTCTTTTTTTTCTTGAAGAGAACTAAAATGCATCTGTTGTAGTCAATGGAATAGGGGAATCGGATAGAGGGGAAAAAGAAGGAAAAAACCACTTTTAATTTCTTGTGGAAGGAGATGACATGCGGCATTTTGTTTACTTTCCGACTCTGAATGAAAACTTTTTATAATCGAAGTGTTGGTTAGTATTTTATATTGTGGTATTGATTATCGAAAGTTTTAAGAGATAACCGAAAATGGGGTATTTAAATCTCTCCCAAATGAAGTTCAAATCTGTTTAACACCAAACTTTTATATTCTTACAAATATAGCATATTTTGTTAGATTTAAACCTGCAATGTTCAAGAAAGGTTATTAATGTTTGTACTAATTGAAAATTATCGGATATAAAAATTTCTTGAGGTCTCTTGGATTCGGGTTCGAATAAGTCAAGTCCCTTCGGTCGAAAAAATAAAAAATAACATATATAATTTTATAATCTTTCTTCTAATTTCTTGAATTTGGATTTTTATATCAAATGTAATTGGAGATGAATAAAATCTTTTTAATTTTTAGTTAAATTAGTTTTTAAAAAGTAATTGTATACTAAAAATTATAGAAAGGATTTATTGTTTTATTCTAATTTTTATATTAAATAAGTCGTACTTATTGAACAACTAATATTAAATATCAAATACATAAATGCTAGAAGTACTATCGTCGTGGGGCGGGGACAGATTTCCCATCCCATTGATGGGGATTTCTCGGAGGAAACTTGCTCTCTTTGTAGAATAATTCAAAAAAGTAAAAATGTAAGATCAACTAATTCTTCATTAAATTGTTTCTCAATATGATTTTTGTGCCCATTGTTTTCGTTTGTTCCTGCCATAGCAACTTTAATCAATAGAAGTGTCATTGGGGTAGGGTGGAGACTTATGAAATTCTCCATGAAAGTTTGCAATGATTAGGACGAGAATTTCAACAAGAAAAACTCGATCAAATTTTCTTTGGAGCTTCTGTTTTTCTTTTCTTTTTGGTAGTAGAACTTATTCTTTCAAAAGTCTCTTTTATGCTTTTGTTAGGCTAGGGACGATCAAATTTTATATTTTTTTTAGTACAACAATATATGAGGGTAGAAATTTGAACATCAATAATATATTTTTTTAATCAGTCGAGTTATGTTCAGGTTGGTGTTACGTATTGTATTTTATTATTTGCCTGATTTGGGAAAGGTTTCTGCGAGCCCATAGGGTGAAAATAACACCCTTACCAACCAATTAAGTAAACTTTCTCTTGAAAGTAATATAACTAGTATGTGATAGGGCTTCTAATTCTAGATATAGTCAAGTCTTTTCACAGTTTTACTTATTAATTTATCATCTTTTAATAGAAACCGTATCATAGAATCAACTCCACCAAACAGTTCTCTCTTTTTTAAGCTTTAAAACTTAATATTCTATCTTCAGCCACATGTCGGGCTCGCTTCAAAAGCAAATAAAGTATACCTTTTTTTGGGTTAAAATAGTATTATGATCTTGTACTGTTGTTGTATTTTTAATTTTAATTTATTTGAGTCTTTATACTTTTAAAATATTTCATTTTAATTTCTGTACTTTAAAAAAATATATATATATATGATCTCTTAATTTTATTTTTAATCACAATTTCAACATGATACTGCTACTTAGTATATTTCTTGAAATGCAACTATGATTTTATATTAAAGAGTTTCCATTATGTACAAAATTAACCTGGACCAAAATATAGCTGAAATTGAAAGTACGGTACTAAAATAATATTATGATTTTATTTTTCTTTGGATAAGTTGGTTTTACAGGACCAAAAACCAAGTGGGTTGCTATCAAAATGATTTCCTTAGATAACATTGATGTCATTCTCGGATCATCCGATATCCCCAATTGAAAACTCTAGAATCTTACCCATGGCCTTCATAATTCAACTCTCTCTATTTTAATTAAAAAGAAAAAAGAAAAAACTTAGGTTCAATGAATGTTGAGGGGCTGCTGCCCTCGTCACATGGAGGACCTGAAATATCTGCATCAGTTAGCCGCCTTTGTCATCCTCCAAAACCATAACATTATTACAACAATTTCGACTATATATTATTAAATCTTCAAATAATTAATGTCATCTTTACACACAAAATACTTTATAGATAAAAAAACGGAGATAAAGACAACCAACAAGTGGGAAATATAAAGTCAAAATTAAACTAAGTGTAAAATACTAGGAATCAAAATGAAGGAGATAGCGACGGATTATTCAAGGCTTTAATTTAATTGTGTATTCTGTTGTTGTTCTAACAGATCTTGATTTGTCATTCGAATCCCACGAAATTTCTCTGCTGTTTCTTCTTAGCCGCCCCTCTCAGAATTAAACTGATATATCATATGCTTTCAAATTTTGCTTCCTTTTTCTTTTCTTTTTATTACACATCACAGTATCTTCTCACTGATCCTGGTTTGACCAATGGTTGGCCTTAATTAACTTTCAGTTTGTTGTTCAATCGCAAACGCATACTCTAACGATCTAGAAAGTGTTTTGTAGAGTGTTTTTTTAAATCGTTCGCTTAGAAACTAAATTTCAGATTGATTTTGTTGTATCAAACAAATTTGACTACGTGAAAGGCAGTTCATTGATGATTAATTCTTTGTTAAATATTTAATGTATAAGTGGCATTTTAGGCTGGTGTTATACTGTTGTTATGGGCTGTGGAGTTTAGTAGAGTTGTTGAGATTTATTTCATATAACCTTATTCCTTTGTGTTAAAGATTCTGCCTTGAAGTTTTTAAAAAAATAAAAAATAAAAATAAAAAAGGATTCCACACAAAAATGTGTGGAAACCTAACAATTCTTTATAATATATATAGATAATTTCTCTCATCGTAGAATGATTTTGAGATGAACCTCTATATGAATTTTGATATGGGTCTCGACGAGTTTAACAAGCTTAAATATGGAAAATATTTATTTTGAATTTCTTACTCTCATCTTATAACTGATTTTTTTTAAAAGAATCTATGTTAATAAAAGTGTTGTATTGAGTTAGAAAATCAAATATCAGGGTAATAGGTATTACGTATTTGAGTTAAGGAAATTAGCGAAGATAGCAAAAAAATCTTTTATGTATTTCAAAATATGTCACCTATTTTTAGAATTTTTATAAAAATTTTCACTTATTTATATAAGATATTCATATATTAGTAGTACATCAAGACATTGATATCAGTAGTATATTAGATGTATATCATATACATATTACACAGACACTCATATCGGTAGAATATCAGATGTATATCACATATATAACACATTCATATATATCAGTAGTTAGATATATTATAAATGTATATCATTTGGGTAAAGTTGTTTGGATCTCCGTTTTTTTTTATTTAAAAAGAAGTGCTATAATTGAAAAAACTAGACGGGTTGCTATTTTATTAATTTTAATATATATATATATATATATTTTTTGTCATATTTACAGTCGTCTCACTGTAACTAGGCGTGAACGGACCATAAAAACAATTTGACTATATTCACTTCAACCAAAATTAATTTACAGTGATGCGAAATTTTTATGGCACTTTTAACAAATTCGAATAATAATTAATGGCAAATTGATTATTTGCTTCCACCAAACTTTTCCCAGTACTTCCATTTTAAAATATGCCACGTACTTTAATTTACTCTTTTTTTTTTAAGAGAATGAAAACTGTATATAAAAAAAAAAACCCATTACATTATTAAGAGACAAAAATAGTTGTCAATTATTGGGTTAGTTCATTTATATGATCAATTTTGGTCCTTTTATTAAAATTAATTAATATTATTCAGAGACAAAATTAGTTGTCTTCTTTTTCAAAGAAAAAAGAAAAAGAGAAAAAAGAATTGTCTTATTGTATTTATTTATTTATTTAATTTTTGAGATATAGTTGTGGTGATGTTGACTTGACATATTTTAATAAATTCTTCCCTCATTTTTCTCCAAAAATATTCTATTAAGTGTTGAGCTGTGCATTACTTTTTCAGGGGGTTTCCATAGATTCTTGATTTCTAATTTGAAGTTATGACATTCTAGTAGCTTTGGATTTACAATCCACTTTGAGTAATTCTAATATTTAATTTCTGCATCTGATATTTATATATCGTCATTCCCTATTTAATTCCCCATAAGATATAGGCCTAATTAAATTTTTTTAAAATAACAAATTCTATTTAGAAAATTTTCATCCAAATTGTAAATATTACTTAAATAGTTTCCAATAACTATTATATTCTACTGCATATATCATGTTTTGAATATAATTATTAGAGCATATATTCATAAACTTGTGAAATGACAATAATGGTGTTAAATTACTAACGCATTGTTAATCTAATTTGCATAGTGTTTGGTATATTTGATTTTTTCTCTTTGGAAAGGGAGTGTGTAGGAGTTGTTTATTATTTCAATAAAAAGTTTGAATTTATTTATAAACCAACAAATTTATAAACTCAATTTCTAAAATATCTCATTCTTTCTTACCTATCAAATGAAGGATATAATTATATAGAGGATTCTTCAACAACGTATGTTGCCATGAATCTTTTTACATTATTGCTAATGATTTTCAACGACGAAAAAAGTCTTGTAGTTAATAAAACTTAAATGAAAAATACCAAGATTAATCCTTTTAAAAATAAGATGATCGGATACTCTAGAAAGACTTATTGAAAAAGGGGATGACATTGTTAGGGACGATAAACGACTCCACATTCTCATAATTGTATTATCCACTTTGGGTATAAGGCCTTCGCGACTTTGATTTTGATTTCACTAAAAAAGACTACATACTAATAATAATAGAGAAGTTGTCTCTCACTTGTATACTCATGATCCTGCTGGAAATGACTATGTCAGGCGCATGACTCTGATACCACTTAACAAGGTATCCTTCTACATTATTGTCTGATTTGAACATAAACCCAACCTCATGAATTTACTTTTGGTTTCAATTAAAAAAAAAAAGTCTCGTGCTAATAGAGATGTTATCTATTTATATATCTATGATCTTCATTTTTTCCTAATCAATAATATAGAACTTTGATTGCACTAAACCGAGCATAACTCAAGTGGTTAAAGTACCTATCTTATTTGCTTTTTTTTTCCTTCTAATAATAAAGACCAGAAAGGCACTAAATTTCCTCATCTTGTCTTCTAATAAAATAATAATAATAATAATAATAATAATAAATTTGACTTGAAATAAAAAATTTAAATTATTTAAACCAAGAGAATTCCTTAAACAAAACAAATTGCATTATGCTCTGTTCCCTTTTTGTGGTTTCCTAACATGTAAATGACAGCGCTTTAATGGCATCAATTCCAATTAATATTAATTCTTTCTTCATAATTGGCAACTAATCTTTATCCCATACTTATATTTATTTATTTATTGCAACAAGTGGACATAAATAAAGTATCATAAAGAATCTAATTATACAATTTTAGGTTCTAGAAAGTGATGCCTACTTCCCAACCATAAGCTATCTAAACTGATCTTTTAATTTTCTTACTTCTATAAACAAACTTTATAAAAATAAAAAATAAAATTTCTAAATTAGCATCACAAGTTTTTAGGTATTTAGAATTGGGATCTTCAAAATAAACCCCTTTTATCCAATCTTGACTATTAATAATTCTTTTGAATGCAAGTTAATTTTTTTACTGGATTTTTCATGTTTCAAGGAAAAAAAATAGTTTTTTCATATAAAGAACCAGCATGGGGTACCATAGATGAAGATATTACAAATTAAGTAGAAAAAACGTAGATTAAATTAAATTACATTTCTATGTTAATTATATTGTCTATTATTAATTAAAGTTTATTTAAATATTTATATAAATATCATTAGCGAAGAGTAATAAAACTGAGTTACAAATTACTAATTTATAAATATTACGAGATTTATAGTGTGACATCATTATAATCTTGGGTATAACGGGTTGTTTTGATGAAAAGAAAAGAAAGAAAAAGGAAAAAAAATATTGTACTTTAGAGTTCCATCGATAATGTCTTATTCAATTTTCATGATGCATTTTTCGAGTGCTACCAATAAGTGATAATTATTTGGACTTTTGTTAATCTTTTACTAATAACTTGGACGTGCAGTAAAATTTAATATTAAACTTTTAAGAGTATGTTAAAAAAATATTTTTTGTCAATCATTTTTATGAAATAACATTTGAAAATTTTATATATAGAATTTGACGTGACAACTACCTAGATCTCAAGTGTGCAAAAATGAAGGGCTTGGGGACTGGTGAGGTAAAAATGAAGACAATTCACATGGGTGGAATCCTGATATATATATATATATATATATATTAATGGTAGGGATTATACTATTATAGATTTTAAATTTCAAAATTTAAATAGTTACATTGCCCAAAGATTTGGGGTTAAAATCTTATATAAACTAAACCATTACCTTTCATCTCGAAATAAATTGTTACTTCAATAAAGTAATACATTAACAAAAAATATAGTTTTTTAACCAAAATTTAAAAACATAGAAACAACTAAGACCCCCTTAATTAATGGGAAGGAATCGAAGTGAGAATGAAATTTTTTTTTAGAATGGGAATTAGAAATCGATGTTGTTCACTAAAACTATATGGAATTGGAATATGAATAAAATGTATAACAATTAGGAGTATATCCCTTTCTTATATATTTCTAGCTCATTTTAAATATATTATTGTGCTAATTCTTTTAATTAAAATAATTATTTATTTTGTTACTATTTTATTGAGAGCAAATATTTTTATTATAATAATTTATTTAATATTAGTAAATGATAAATAATTAAAATAAATTACATCAACTAAAGACCAACCATCCTTTAATAATAAAATTTTATTATCCTAATATTTAATAATATGAATTCTATTTTAAAAAATTTATTGATATTAATTAATAATAATAAGTATAATTATTTGTAATATTTTATAATAAAATTAAAGTTGTAAAAATTTTTATTTAGAATAAACATAATTAATAGTATAAATAAAAAAGAAATTATAAAATTATAAAACAATTTTATTATTATTATTATTATTATTATTATTATTATTTAAATAGATATCACAATCACTTCATTAGGTAGGTTAATAGGAGAGGCTAAATAATAGCACTCCCCTCCAGAGAAATAAAAGATATATCATAATTACAAATAATAAAAAAAAAGCTTGATTTTGAATGACTCGTGAAACCATTAATTAAAAAACTATAAGTTTGAAAAAAGAAATGATAAAAGTTGCAAAATAATTATTATAAAGGTCTGAGGCTACAAAATAAAGAATGAGATTACATCTTAAAAGGAGGAGTGATTATAAAATTTGAGGTGATTCGCATTCCTTAATTCTGGTCTCCTCAAACTAAACGAGACCTAAATTGCAAAACTTAATAGAATAGGGGATAAAAATGCAATTTAAGCACAAACAAAAATTCAGCTAATTTATTCAGCAAAAGATCGATTATGATTATTATTAAATGAAGAAAATAGAAACATCTTGCCAGTTTCCTCAAGAGAAACAAAATCTAAAATGAACTAAGCGCCAAATCTTACACTATATTTTAGATTTCCACTTCTGAAACTCCAAAACATTAAACATATATTATTTGTAAAGAATGAGTCTTTCAAGAACATGGTGATGGTGGAAAGGATTTGTGTTTACTTTATACATTTTTTCAGTCAATTAAAAAAAAAAAGATCCAAACTTTTAGAACCCCCTGAGGTTCCATAACCTTATAAATTTAAAGCTCTCCCTTCCAATCAGTTCCCAATTACTCTCACCCAACTCTCTCTTCTTCTTCTTCTCCATTTTTATTGTGTTGTTGAACGATGTTCAGTGCAGAGCCTGAGCTTGACGACTATCAGTTCCCGCTTCCAGGGTTCCGGTTCCACCCTACCGATGAAGAGCTCGTTGGATTTTATCTCCGGCAAAAGGTCGATAAGAAGGCCACCAGCACCGAGCTCATCAAGTCCATTGATATCTACAAGCATAACCCATGGGACCTTCCTAGTACGATTCATTCCGTTACTTATATTATTTTATATATGCATGTAATTTACGACGATCTAATATTTGAAAAGATAAGAAGAAGTTAATTAAACCAGAGTTTATAATATAAATGAGTTACGGTTACCTAATTAGCTTTGAAATGATATCCGTGAATCTTGATATTTACCTAGATTTGATTCAAGATTTGAGAAACTATTCTAACTAGATTCCATTTTTTGATTTCACTCGAACGGTTAAATTTATATTTTGACTTTCTTCACTCTCAACCGATGAATGTAAGGATATGTTCGCCATACCATTCTTCCACTATGTCAAGATATATAATAAGATCAGATCCAAAGGTTCCTATCAATTGCTTACTTTTTATGTTTTCGGATATATTAAGAAACATTGAGTTGTCTTGTTCATAACTTTTTTAATAGTGATATACTATTTAATATGGATTTCTGTACGTTTTTGTCATCTTCTCTACAATTCACTGAACTAGAGCATTTTTTTTTCAAAATATATGATTCAAATTAGTTTTGACCACAACATATATACAACATCTGATATATTGTTCTTAACTTAAAATTAATTTTGTGTGGAAATTGGTGGCAGATGCTGGAAATAATTTGGGGGACAAAGAGTGGTATTTCTTCTGCAAAAGGGCAAGGAAATACAAGAACAGTATAAGACCAAATAGAGTTACAGGTTCAGGGTTTTGGAAAGCAACTGGAATTGACAAGGCAATTTACTCACAAGCCAAAGCCAACCACTGCATTGGCCTCAAAAAAACCCTTGTTTATTACAAGGGAAATGCTGGCAGAGGCACCAAAACTGAGTGGATGATGCATGAGTTTCGCCTTCATTCTCTCAACAACCACAATACTTACAGCTCCTTCTTTGCCAGAATCAGAAATAATGTCCAAGAAGCAGCTGTAAGAAAAATATTCCCTCTTTTTCTATTCGCTTCGATTTGAGTTACTGATCTATCAGGTCGTATAGATTTGTGTTAAACAACAATGAATCTATCGGGTCGTGTAGATTTGTGTTAAACAACATGAATGAGTTTTGCCCTATGCTAATAGTACTTCAAGTTTTTGGATTTAGTGGCAGTTTAGTTTAATTAACACATAAGATCACGCATGGAGTCCTGTGTTTCAACTCTTGCAATATCAATTCCTTTTCATAATTACTTTGTTGGCTGATTTTGTGCTAATTGTTGTACCCACGAGCGAGGGGAGTGTTGCTTTTTTTTTCTCCTTATAACTTAGAAATTAATGTTAGGTGGCTTCTTTAGTTGGATCCCTATAATCGGGATATCCACACGATCACCGGACATTATAACCAACTTTGCGGGACTCGTTCCTAAATAGGGGAAAAGTCCCCGTACGCAGCTTGCGGGGCTCGAACTCAAAAGAGATATCCCCATTTGACCACAAACCCACTATACCACCACCCGCGAGTGGTATTAGTGTTTATAAACTCAACTTTCAGAAATAGGAGATCACAGACAAAATAGAACAATTTGTTTTAGAACTCTCCACTAAAAAGGCTCAGCCTTTCTTACTTTTTATACTAATATTTACATTCTACTTCAATGTTTAACTGCAGGAAATCTGGACATTGTGTAGAATCTTCAAAAGAAGTGTTTCATGTACAAAATTTGCACCAAATTGGAGGGAGATTGCAGCAGCCAATGGTCATTCAATATTTGGAGAAATGAACTCAAATCCACACAGTGATGATCATCAGAGTGACCAATCTTATGATAGAGAAAGCACCTACATTAGTTTCAGCTCTTCCTTCATTAATTTTGATGAAAAGAAGCCTCTAGTTTCTCATCAATGGAATCCATTGATGATGAATTTCAGCTCCATCTCTGAACAAGCTCCCTCTTCTTCTACAATTGAATCACCACCATCAAGCCTCTCAAATTTTTATGGGGATGCAACTGATCTGTTTGGATACAAAGATAGGAAGAATCTCCAATTAGTACTTGACCAATTTTCTAACATTGATCCATGACTATCTCTGTTCTTATGTAAATAATCTTGGGTTCGAATCGTTTTTGCTTTTTTTGGGACAACAATTTGGGGATACGGGAGATCGAACCTTCAACTTTGAGGAAAATAGTACATGTCAATTATCGTTGAGTTATGTTCCTGTGGGTTCTTTTTACCCTTTTTTGTGAGAGTTTGGTGACAAAAAAAAATATGTAGCTTAGTTTTCTCTCTCAGGATGAAATAAAATTAGAAGGGTGGTTGTAATTAGTTATGCTCTGGTTTTAATTTTTGTATCAAATTTTCTATTGAATTACTCACAGATTAAGTTTAATGAAACATCTTTTTAAGTTAATTAAATTCTTATTGACACATCTTCAATATTAAAAAACAGCTGTGTTTAATATGGGAGTATAATTAGCAAAATATAATTGGAATTTTTGGTTTCAAATTGATTTTAGATCGAGTGAAAAATAGTCTATATGGTATGTTGAATAGAGTCTTTCTTTGTTCAACCAAATGTTTGGCTATCAAAATTAATACATCACTATGGGTAAAGGTCAGATTCAAAGTTTTAAACTTTTCCACCACAAGAAATTATTTTGTCTACCATTTTTCTTTTATATAAACCTCATTTCCAAGTGGATGAGAGTGATATTTTATAGATCAGTGAGATTTCTATATGAATTAAATTTACCTTAACTCATTAACCTAGACTTTTGAGTTCACTAGTCGTTAGAACAAAATATCTAAATTTATCTTAACTCATCAACTTAAATTTTTGAATTTATTAGTAGTTTTTTCTTTCATATTGATATATGCAAATAAATTACTTGGATTTTAGGACGTAATTAAATTGAGGTGACTTAATTATATGTTTTGATCTTGGAGAGAGAGTTCTCTAGTAAAAGTCTAAGTCCCTTCTTAGAAAGTAATGTTATCTTCAAGATCAATCCAAGATGTATAATATTTTGGTTACATTACAAATTTAGTCAATGAGCTTTAAAAAGCGTAGATTTTTAAATTTTTAATTTTATATCTAATAAGTTCTTGAATATCTTATTAGTCCAAAGCTTTAGTTTTAATATTTTGTCTAATAGATCGTTAAAATTTCAATTTTATTTTTAATAGGTCCCTTACCTTTTCGATATTGATTAATTAAACACAAAATTGAATTTTGTACTTATTATGATTATGAGCTTTCAATTCTATGTCCAATATATCTTTAAATTATTATAGAAAATGTTAAATAGGTCAGAAACTCATTAGACACAAAATTTTGAAAATTCGACACCTATTAGACACAAAATTAAAAGTATAGGGACCTATTTGACATTTTTTAAAGTTCGTGATTTATTAGACACTTTTCAATGTTTAAGAGAACCTATTAGAAACAACTTAAAAGTTCAAAGACTAAACTTATAATTTAACTTAGCTAGTATATATATTTTTTATGTAGAATTTATGGCACACATAAAAGTCCAAGGGAAAAATACACTTTTAGTCCTTGAGGTTTGGAGTAGCTGTCTATTTGGTCCCTCAAGTTTTAAAATGAACATTTTTGGTCCCTAAAGTTTGAATTTAGTGTCTATGTAGTCCCTCAAGTTTCAAAATAGACACTTTTAGTCCTTGAAGTTTGAGAAATAGTTTTTAAGTTTGACTAATATTAGATGATGTGGCACTTTAATTGCTGACTAGGTAAAATATATTAATTTAATAATATATTTATGAATGGTTGGGCTTTTATTTTTTATTTTTTATTTTCTCATTTTATTCAAATTATCTCACTTTCTTCTTCCCCTTCTCCGGTAAAACTCACCACTGGCCCACCAACTGCCCAACGACCTTCGTCGGCCACGAAGATAGGACGAAGAAGAATGGAAGGTGGATCTGGCCAGAAACCGCGACAACCCAGAACAAAAAAAAATGGCGATGTAGTGTTCGTTAGAGGATGCCCCAAATTCGACCGCCACTGGATTCCAGTACTTGGAGATATCTACAGCGAACCGATTCTCCCAGTGGGTCAACTCCCCAGGACGAAGTATGACACCGAGGACCACAATCCAGCGTGGCGGCCGATAAAGGAGTGGCTCGACAAGCAAGCCAGAGGCTCGGTGTTCTACATGGCGTTCGGGAGCAAGGCCAAACCGAGCCAATGCGAGCTTGAAGAGATCGCCTTCGGGTTGGAGCAGTTGGAGCCACGAGTCGGTGGGTGGGTTCGTGAGCACTCAAGGTGGAGCTTGGTGGTGGAGGCGATTGAGTGGGAAATAGGACTGATATTGGTGACGTTCTTGGCGGACCAAKGGATAAATGCGAGAGTGTTGGAGGAGAAGAAGATGGGTTATTCTATTCCCAAAGATGAGGGGGACGGATGGGCTAAAAAATAATTTTAGCCGGTATTTTTTTGTTCTGGGTTGACGCGGTTTTCGGACAGATCCACCTTCCATTCTTCTTCGTCTTATCTTTGTGGTCGGCGAAGGTCGTCGAGTCGTTGTTGGGCCAGTGGTGAGTTTTATGGGAGAAGGGGAGGAAGAAGAAAGTGAGATAATTTGAATAAAATCAGAAAAATAAAAGTCCAACCATTCATAAATATATTATTAAATTAATATATTTTACCTAGTCAGTAATTAAAGTGTCACGTCATCTAATATTAGACAAATTTATGGATCATTTAGAACTATTTATCAAACTTCAAGGACTAAAAGTGTCTATTTTGAAAGGACTACATAGACACTAAATTCAAATTTTAAGGACCAAAAGTGTTCATTTTAAAACTTCATGGACTAAATAGACACCTACTCCAAATCTCAAAAACTAAAAGTGTATTTTTCCCATAATCCAATAAGGTGTCTACCAAGAAGTGATTATGACACAGATAAATACATTACGCTTTGCGGAGGAAGTACCAAGGAAATTCAATGTCTCTAATGAAGAACTCATCTTGGCCAATATTGTAATTTTTTCAAACTTTTCTTTTAAATTTTAATTCTAGAATGATTTAATATAAAATTTGGGAGAGATTTTGACATATAAATGTCAAAATTTTAGACCCATAAAAGGTGGAGCATACAAGACTATAGCACAATTGACTTGTCTACTTTAAGCTGATAATACATGTATTCATAATTTTTCTACAAATCAAATTAAATAAAATACGAGACCCATTGTATTAACCTTACTCAATAATTTCTCCTAAAAAGTCAAAAAAATTGCACAATTAATTTGAACATAAATATATATATTTGGATAGTCAACTTTGAACGTAGTGGCAACTGAATATTTAGATTTAATTCTACAAAGAACCTTAGAAAATCTAAATTGAATTTTTAATGAAGCTAAAATATTGCTAAATATAAAAAATATTAGATATATCATTATAATATCACGTAAATCATTGTTAATATTTTTATATTTTGTCGATTTTTTTACAATACTAAAGAAATATCGATTTACTTTTTAATACCCTAATTTGGATTCCATATTTATTTTGAGTATATATTTAACTTTTGCTTTCTCATCCGCATCCAAATTTTACTATTTTTACAAAATTGAAAAGTTGTTAGTTACTTTTTACAGTTTCTTTTTTCTATACTTTTGCAACGCCCCAAATCTAAAATTCAAAATAACCCACCAAAATTGAATGACGATTTTCCCCCAATAAGTTCGATTACCAAGGAATTAATTAGCTTCTTTTCATTTTGGATCAAAGAAAATGACATTTTTAATGAGGGTTTGAATTACCAAAAACAAAATTAAACCTTGGCATCATGGAACCAACTAAATTTCAAAACTTTTCCCATTTCTAGACGTACGAACTTCCATTCAAGAAAACCCAAGACAAAAGAATGAAGAAGAGGTCATAAATTTAGACAATAATCTCTAGAATTTTTGTTTTTGGACACGACACAGTACGTAGAACCTCCTGTTTTTATATGTCTGGTTGTCCATAAATCACAAAAATTAGAACCTTAACGAAAACGATGGATGTAAGAATTTTTATATTTCTGTAATAATTCTGAAGCCGGCAAAAAGAATCGCAGAAAATTTGATAATGGGGAGAAGAAGAGGCTAAAAGAAGCCGGCCTCTGTCAATTTAAAAATTTCTCCTTTTTTTTTCTCCTTTTTTGTTTAATTTAATATATTTCGTTGTTCTTCCTGTAATTGATGATCTGAAACAAGACATAATCTCACGACTTTAATTTTGACCAAACGACTTTGACTTTCTTTTCATGTTTTTGTCCACAAGCTATTGGATTGTATCGGTTTTTTCTCATCTCTTCAAGTATGTTTGACCAAGAAGGAATCTAACTCCAATTTCATATTTTATTCGGTTGTTTAAAATTAATCTCTAGAGGGAATTCTTCAAACTAGGAAGAAGTTATTCATGGTTTTTGTTTTTTTCCAGTGATATCGATCTTTAAAATGGTAATTGATATCTTTTTATACTAAACTCAAACGGAGAATTATTTTGTATCTTAATTATTGAGTCTTACTCGAGTTTGACAAAATACGGGAGAAGTTGTACCAATACAACCTCATATCTAAACAAAAGAAAAGACAGAGAAATAATAGAAGTTATATTTATGATGACCTATATATAGCATAATTAATTGGTGAGCGATACTAAGAGAAATTATAGAACTAATTTGAAATGGATGAATCTAGGAAAAACATAATAACTGTGAATTAAACAAAAAAGATAATTAGGACTAACCATGCCCAAACACTTGATATTCAAAGCATATAATTTAACTTAAAATATAAAATAATTTTTTATTTTATTTGGATGGTGACAAACTACTAAGATTGAAACTATGTAAGAAGAAGATAGGGACAGAGATTAGGTTTGTGGGATTATAGTAATATTTTTTTAATTTGAGCTGAAGAATAGTCCTCGGTCCTTTTTACACTATTTTATCTTGTGATTAGTTTTGAATTGGCTTTAATATCTATTTTAGAACTGTAATTGAAGAAGAATGTTTTAGGCTTATCCACTTTGCTTAATTCTCAATGAAGTTATTAATTTAATGAGGTGGCTCTTAAATTATATTTCTAAGTTATTATTCTAAATATAAATTCCATTGCCAAATTCAATACTGAATGGCATCGGTTGGTTCCTTTCTTTAAAGTTAAAAGTTTAAACTTCTATATTTCGTTGTTCTAAATATCTTTTTTTTTTTTTTCATCTTTTTCTCCTGCTTGACTAATTAAATAAAGTTTAACACGGGTTTATAGTGTATCATTTTGAATAAAATATCAATTTCTTTTCTTTTTTTTCTTCTTGAATTTGAAAGTTTGATCTTACACCTTACCATTGTTCTTATTGTTGGGTTTATTTGGAGGGAAAATTATTTTCTTACCCGAATTTGCCCATCTATTAGTTCTAACCTTAAACTCGTTCAAGTTAATTATTAATTTAATTAGTTTCACTCTCATAAGTTGTCCATTTCCTTTTTATTCTTATTAATATTATTATATATTGTTCAAAAAAATTTTAGTACAAGGTGCGAATTCAAACTTGATATTTTTTTAATATGCATTAACCAATTGATCAATTATGTTAAGTTTGTTATTATTGTTCAATTTATTAATTCACTGCTGGACAAATCTAATATTCAATACTTAGAAATAGAAAGCTAATTAAACGAGGCAAAATATCTTTTTCCCTTATTTTTATTAAGGCGTTATACATTATATACAAATCATTCATGTATAATCTGAATTATTATACAAATGCATACCATATAGTAATTTTCTTTTTCTTAAACTATGGTTATAAATAATAATAATCTTGACTTGGTGAATAATGTGTGATGGAATATCTTTATCTAAACTTCTAGAGCATTATTCAAAGATGTCTTTGAACTGCTATTTTTCAATTATTTTAAAAAGATACAAACAAAACAATCCGCACTTTGCATTTATTAAATTTTAATCCGCAGTTTTAGCCGATATGTTGTAAATTTTCTTTATGATTGAAACTATATTTACATATTTTATGTGCATAAATTATTACTCGAAAAGCAAGTACTTTATGAACAATCTAGAAAAATTAAGATTCAGAATTGATCTGTGGCATAATTTTCAAAGTCAAAATTATCAGCTTTTGGCTGAGCGAAATTTTCAAAAGAGTAATTATCAAGTGATGGAGATCGCATTTCAGGTCCACAGAAAACTAAGAAATTAAATAGCCAAATCAATGGACAACAAATTAAAAACCCTCAATTTTTGAACCCTTTTTTCTTCACGGCAAAGTTAATAATATCACATAATTAAAACAAGTGGCACTAAAGACTAAGAGACTGACAAAGTTGTGGCTAGGAAAGGTCAAGAGGTTTGAAATTTCTTGACGTGTGTATCGACAATTTCTATAAAATTGAGACCTCTACGTTTCTATCAACATCGACATTTAAAGTCTTGGATATATTTAAATATATCTATTATGGAATAAATCATATCACCGATACACCATTTCTACATATTTGATAAAATATATAACTGGCATACCAATACAGAATATATCATTGATGTACCATTTTTGTATCATTGAAAAAGTATGCTAATATACTTCATATAATGCACATCAACAATATACATGCAAAATATTTTCCGTGACAAATATGATATTATCGCAACAGTGCTATATAGGTAATTATTCGTTTAAAAATATTTTACCTATATAATTATTTAAATTTTAAAATATATATTTAATAAAAATCTACTCTTTCAATTTGTCGAAGGGAAAGAATGAGCACACAATTTGGTATGTAGTCTTGAGGACTTTCTACTAAAAGCAAATTGTACAGTTTGCCAAAATTTCACACCATGTGATCTAATTCAGTAAACTTTTCTTTCTTTTATTTTCCTCTTCAATCAACGAGTTGAAAAAAAAATGGATTTAAAAGTCACAATTTCATTATTAATTTGACTTTCTTTTATCCAATTTGGAATCTGAATTTCAATATATGGAAAAAGCTCATTGTCTACACACAGTTTCTGGTAAGCACTCATTTTTAGACATCAAAACTTGCCACCTACTTTATTAATGTTTCTTATTTTCTATTTTCTAAGTCACAAAATATTAACAAACTTAATACTTTATAGTGCGTTTTCCCCCATTTTTTGGTTCGTTAATAACAGATTCAACAAACAGAACCCAGAAATCGATCATATGTTGTTTTTCCAATAGTTTGTTTACAGAAGTAAATTTCCAAGTGACATTTTAATTTAATGCGTACTTAAAATTTTTTAAATCAAGAAATAAGCAAGAATTGTTAAATGATTTTACATTATCTTAACATTAAAAAGGAGAGAGCAAAAATAAGGAATAATTAGCAAACATATTTGAACTTTTTGAAAAATAACAAATAAGAAAAATTAAAACTGAATTAGCCACATGTTGGCTAATAAAGTCAAATTTCCATGGCATATTATGCACAATATTCTTGGGAAAAGTATTCTTGAGCATAATTGAGAATTTGAGATGCATAATTTAATAACTGACATGGCTTTATAAAATATAATAAATAAAATGAGGCTCGTCTTCATTTAAAATGTTGCCCTGTTGGGATAGTTGGGCCATGAATTAAATTTTGCATTAACAAAAATAATAAACTATTCAAATAAAATAATATTACTCAAATAAATTAGTTAAAGACATATATCTCTATCAGGTTCAATAATAATTTACTTAAATGGGATTTATTTTGGTAACAATATTGTAAAATCTTTCTTTTAAAAGAATTAAAAATAACACATAAAAAGACTCTTTTACCATTTGTGGGAGTTTTGTTTATGGAGGAAAGCAACCAAGAAGAAATATGTAAATAGTATGGAAAAAAAATATTTTTTAAGTACAGCACTAGGTGGGAATTGGTTGGCAATGAAAGAAAAACATTGATATATATTTATAAAAAGTTACCACTCCGTACAATAAATGGGAGATGATTATTTTTTGGTCAAAAATACCTGTTAATTTTTGCTGAGCTAAGTTTACATTGGTCATCACTCTCCCCATTATTTACACGTTATTGGTGGTTCAAATTTTCAACAATAATATATATTGACATTTCTATTTGGTTGATGCTAAAACCAAAGATGTGCCCAATGTTGTCTATCATATTGGTGATCTCCTTTTCTCCCCATTTATTTTATTTAGCTTTTCTAGAATATTTCCTTATTTTGTTTCATATTTTTTTTAAGTAAATAGCTCAAATAGAATGCTATCCAATATGATATCACATACTACTAGTCTAAGTTGGCATTGATGGTACATAGGGACTTCAAAAGAGACCTTGTCAATTATATTGAATATTTTTCAAGTTTTCAATTCTTTGAAGTAATTCTACTGGTTCTATTCTCGAGAATGTCTAGTTGGAACGGAACAATCACACTTTTATATATACCTTCAAGTGGCGTACAGACCTTGGGAGGATATTAAAATCACCGCATCAACTTGGTCGTCAAAATCAAATCTTTTTTGTAATTATGATATACCTACTATTACTCTCAATTAAAGTGTTTACTTATAGGCATTCTTTTGTATGTTTCTAACATATATTTCTCACCGAAACGGTACATCTTTTCAAAAAGAAAAAAGTCAAAGTATTTTCAATTTTAAAGAAATATATCAATAATATGTCAATGTCAGTGGATATTTCTAGAAAAATTACAAAAATGATAAAGAATCATAAAAAAAAATAAACATTTTATCATTTTTAAATAAATTAAAATTTCTTATTATTACTATTATGTCTACCTTGGTAATATTTTATTGGTTATCTTTTTTAATTTTATCAATTTTTTTAGGTTCTATGTAAATTTCGATTCAACCTTTATATTTTGATGTCAAACCTACGAACATATAGAAATGTCATGTCGACATGTGTCCATAGAAATATAATACCTGGTTAGTGCAACAATAGCAATAGTAAATATTTTTTATTATAACAATTTATTAAATATTAAAATAAAATTACATCAATAAAAATAATTTTATATTAGAACAACATTATTTAATATAAAATATTATTAAACTGATTGTTTGTAAATTCTTTTTTATTTTAAAAATTTTATTGATATTAATTAAAAGTAAAATTAATTAACTATAAAATTAAATAGAAATTTAAAAGTTTTATAATAAAATCATACCGACTAATAAAAGTTGTAAATTTTTATTAGAAGAACTATAAAGATGTGAAGCTCAGGAAATAGGAAATAGGAAATAAGAATAAGGTTGATGAGCTTCAATGAGATACATCCTTTTAAGATTGAGTTATTATAAGGTTTGAGGTGAGATTTTATTTAGTAATTTAGTAAAAAAGACTGAAAATTTTAATTCTCGAAACTAAACGAGGCAAGGTTGTGGAAACTAACTGTTGCATCCAAATGATTTCTCTCATTGATTATTAGGGAGTATTTGTATCAATAAAATATTTGATGTATTTTATTACAAATGGGATAATTATTTTAAAATTAAATCGGACTTATTCTCTCACTAGGAGAGTATTCCAAAATGCATATAACATTATTAAAAATAATATATATATATATATATATATATATATATATATATATATGTGAATATTTCTTTAAAAATAAAAATAAAAAAACGACCATGCATGCAAATGCATACATTGTAATAATGACAAATTTATGAGCTTCTCTGTTTATTTTTCTTCGTTTAAAAAGTCCAAAATGGTAACTTTGAAAGAAGAACAAGTCTTTGTGAATCGTTAGATCATCCCCCGCTCTGAGTCAACGCCAAAGACTTGACCCTCCAAAAATGCATAACTAATTTTCCCTATATAAAATCAAACACTGAACCTTCTTCTTCTTCCTAAACTCACAACTAATCAGCAAAATCCTCTCACACAAAAACACATACACTTACACTTTTAATATTCCTTGATCCTCTCCCTAATTCTTCTTTTGTTCCTCAATTTCATCATGGCTGCCACTACTCCAGATTTTGACATGGATGATTACCAGTTCCCACTCCCCGGATTCCGCTTCCATCCCACCGACGAAGAGCTCGTCGACTATTACCTCCGCCGCAAGGTCGAGAAGAAATCTGTTGCCCTCGAACTCATCAAACAGATCGATATTTACCGGCACAACCCCTGGGATCTCCCTTGTAAGTCCGATAGAGTTATTACACAGTAAATTAAATATATATCCTCAGGGATTTAACTTAAGCTGATGGGTTCCAGTAATGAAAAAATTTTCAGATGGCGAGGGGGCAGTGGGGGAGAAAGAGTGCTACGTATTTGTGAAAAGGGGGAGAAAGTACAAGAACAGTGTGAGACCGAATCGGGTGACGGGTTCGGGATTCTGGAAGGCGACTGGCATTGACAAGCCAATTTATTCACAGGGAGGTGGCCAAGGCAGCCGCTGCATTGGCCTGAAGAAAACGCTTGTGTATTATAGGGGAAGTGCAGGGAGAGGAATCAAAACTGAGTGGATGATGCATGAGTTTCGTCTTCCTCCCAACACTGCTTCTTCTTCTACTATTAATTCCCACTTCGCCAAAACAAAAAGCAATGCCCACCAAGAAGCTGTAAGAATGATCACTAACCCTCAATTAAATCTACTTTCTTTTTAATGTTAGTTAAATTAGGATTAGTAATTGATGAAGAATACGGTACCCCATATTCTCCGTTTTTGGCATAACTCTCGTAGCTATTTCCTTTTGATTTTACTCAAAGTGTCTCGTACCAATAGAAATATAATATTGGATCACTCATTTCCCTAATCAGTTTGGGTTATTGGCATACCTTACAATCTCAACAATAATAATTTTTACGATTGTGTCCAATTAGTCTCGGATCTCTAAACTTTCAAAGATGGTGTCTTTCCGGTACTTATTCTTTCAAAATTTGATTTGATTTTGAACTTTCAATTTTGTATTTAATAGATAGTCATCATTGATTAATCTATTTAGTTGAAACCATGGTAGCCACCCAATGAGATTTAATATTTTGTGAATTTCTTAGCAACCAAGTGGGGGAGTCGAAAGTGACCCGATACTTACAGATATTTAGAAGGAAAAGAAAAAAGAAAAAAGAAAAATCTAATTGAAAATACACCAACGAAGTTCAATTGTTTTTCATGTTTTTTATTTGTCTTTGTGGTGGTGGGTGTGCTTATGTGTGTTTTTGAATTTTCCAAAATCACAGGAGATTTGGACGCTATGTCGGATCTTCAAACGCAGCGTTTCATGCAGAAAATACAGTACACCAAATTGGAAAGAAATTCCAGCGGCCAATAATAATGGGAGGGAAGCCATGGCCAAGTCCAAAACATATTGCAGCAGCAATACTATGGCTGAATTTTACGATAATGGAGATCAATTAAGAGCAACTAATTACATAAGTTTCAGCTCTGCTCCCAGCTTTAATGGTAATTATTACTTCGAAGACAAGATGAAGCCGTTGGTTAATTATTGCGACAAAACCAACAACCAATGGGAGGAGTTTACGATGATGAACAGTACTAGTAGTCAACCAGCTGAGGTGGAATCTGTGTCTCCTCCTTTGTCTGTAAGCCAGTCGCCAGATTCTTCGGGGTTTGATGAAGAACCCACTGATCTGTTTGGGGGTAGTGAAAATGAAAATTGGGATGAACTCAGATCCATTGTGGAGTTTGCTTTTGATCCATTTTTCGAATGATCCTTGATATACAGATTTTATTATTGTATGTAAATTAATAAACTTTTAATTGCTTGTATTTTTGCTGTTTTCTCTCGTGAGAATTTGCAGTTTTTGGTTTGTTTTGTTTCGGGGAGGGACGTAATTTATATATAAAATTATGAGTTGATTTGGAAATTTTTAAAAGTTGTTGTTCTTAATTAATTGGTATATTGAAGAGTTTTTATCACTCGTGATGATCGGCTGGGTTTAATTCTTTTCTAATTTGTCGTTAAGAAGAGCTGCCGACCAATTTGACGGATTAAGCATCTCGATCAATCTAAGCACACAATATATGCATTAAAGAGAGACCTTTAAGTTAATTTGTTTGCGTTGATCGAGGATTTTTGTCTCGGTTCAGTTTGGATAACGATAAATTTTGTTGGCTCGGTTGGTTCGGTTTTTAAAACAAGAGACTTTAACTTGATTTGTTGGTTCAATTACTCGAATTCATTCGTTCATGTAACTAGACGGACGGCAACAACAAAACGTGTGGAGAAATGTTTTGGGCTCAACCCAAATATGATTTACAAACCAAACCAAAAGGCTTTTCCATATTTACTCTTGTCTCCGATTGTAAATCTTCATACGTGGGACAAGGAATGTGCAAATTAGTTCTAAACATGATCAATGTCATTCCATAATATATAATCTTTACTGTTTGCTGGCTCTTGTGGGCTATCTACTCTTTTTTGGAAGACATAAAAGGTTTTTTAGCTTTCTCTTAATCTTCAAAATCCAATTTCTTTTATAATTACGATATTATTTCTACTATTTTTCCATTGGAACGCGTTTATTTAATATTCCTCTTACATCTTTATATATTTCTCACACGTACCTTTTCTAATGAAATGATTTGATATCTTTTACAAATTAAAATAACATACAATCCTTTATATATTAATTCGTAACATTGTATCTAATCGCTTAAATTTGAAGTAATCTTCACACAAAAGTTGAAAGATTCTAAATATTCAAGAGTCCAAAACCTTTTCTTGTAACTTCGACTTGTTGTCTTGTATTGCAAAAACAAACAAATCCAAAATGATCCCTTATTTTTTTGGCAAACCACGAAACCAACTCCACACAATTGCTAGGATTATGTAAGATCCCAAATCATCTTAGTCACTTTGTCCACATGTCTGAAAACATATGCAATCAAAAGACTTATTTACACCCAAAATAAACCATTATATATTAATACTTTACCCCTAATTAAAACCCTAGTTTATTCGACCATGTTCCATAAAATTTGGACATTTTCCCGACATAATTTGGCTCTTTGCTTTGATCAAAATACAATCCTACCCAGTACATGCACAGCCCCTGCCCCTGCCGGCCAGCCTCAATATAATAATATTCTAAATTATCACCATATATTTGTACGACTTGGGTCATTATCCATATAATTCTATTACATTCTTCTCTGGAATATGGTCTGTCCTTAAATTTCTCATTTGAATATCCTTTACAATCTTTGATTTAATATATATTATACACTGCACCGTAGGGTAATGCAAGAAAATGTTAGATTCTACATATTTAGATTTCTACTTTTAGATTTCAATATGGCTGGCCTCATTAGGACAGACAACTCAGCGTACGTAGAATAATGGATACATTTTTTTCTCTCTAAAGTTTGGAGTTAATGGGCGGTGGTGAGGGGGAGAGACAAAAATAAAATGTACAATCACTATTAAACTAATATATTTTGTCGAATCAATAATAATATTATACACTCAACAACTTAACATTCCGTCAAATCATTTTAACCCTAATTAAAAGTGTCTATTTTAAAACTGAATAAACAACTTAACATTCCGTCAAATCATTTTAACCCTAATTAAAAGTGTCTATTTTAAAACTGAATAAAAAATAGATTGACAGAGGAATACGTAATGAAATTAAAATAAGAGTTTGGAATATAGATATATACATCACAATATCCCTGACCCATGACCATGGACTTTTTGACCAGAGGCAACTGTGTGGATTTTGATAGACCAGACTCACTTCTTCTGATGCCCTTTCACCATGGGATTCTTTTTAATTTGTTTTGTATAATTTGACCAAAAACCCTCCATTTAAAAAACAATAATAATATGAAGAATATAGGAGTGGCAACCTCCCTCCACAAGCCAATTGATCCATATTTTTTAAACCACCGTTAAAAAGACAACAAATCTCTTATATATATATAAACGCCCTTCACCATTGAACTATATTCGCATTTTAACGAAAATAATAAGAAAGAATAATTAGGTGGATGTAGATTATAACGAGTAAGTATTTAAAACTCTTTTTGGAATTATGCCACTCAAATTAGCCATCATTAAATAGATGCACATAATTATATATAAAATTTAATCAAAATTTATTATTTTACTTAATTAGGAAACTCTATTTAAAAGAGACCGGTCAATTCTTAATGAAAATTAAAAAAAAAAAAATTGATGCCTTTTGGTGGCCCTATGACTTTGATACGGTTGTGGGGGGTTTGTCAAAACTTATTATATGTCACTTTAATTATAAAAATATGTAATTAAAACTATACAATATAGGTTTTGTTTAGGTTTTGATCATATAAATTCAAAAGCAACTTTAAATGAGGTCTCGTCAAGATGTTTGATTATCTTTGACTTGGCAATATGAAATTTTCTTATGTCATTTATGCGAATTCAATTACCTCTTTTTTGTATATTTATATTTATTATTATCACTAGAGGTTTGAAAACTATGGTATAAAAGATGCTTCTCTTTTGATTTTTGAATTGAATAGCCTAAAAAGTGATGTAATGCTGATCTTATTTTAGATTATCCACTAATTAATTATACGGTTTTTAATAGGATATATAACTGGTCTTTAATTTCATTACTGATTTTGATATTCAGAATTCAATTGCTCCTAATTCAAACTTAATAAGATCGTCAAAAAAATATCTCAACAGAGATTCTTCAAGTATTTTATGATCTTTTTTTAACTCTCACCTCTTGTCATCGATTCTTTGTTTACTTTAAATTTGACTAAATCTCTAGAAATATCACTCTTCAATTATACCCTAACCCTAAAACTTAATATAACTTTCAACTAACATAGGTTGTATAATTTAATTGGTCAACACATTTTTTTAACGTAAGCTGCCAATTTTGATTTCGTCCCAAAGGTGAATTAAAGACATGTGAGTGTCCGTGAAGTTTTGATATTTATAATTCTCGTAAAGTACAAGAAACGAATTAACTTTACTCCAATCAAAATGGGTCATTACCCATTATGCATAATGTTCCGATAGAAAGTTTTATTAATAAACAAAATAATTATCAAACAAATCTCTTATTGTTTCAAAGAGTTATAAGAGTCACAACAATGTACCAATTAAATTAAATAATAATTCCTCTTAATGTATAGTTTGACTTTGGTGATGAACCATGCCCTCCTTGAGAAAGGTTAAATTTAAACTTTTCAAAGTCAAAAAATTCAGCTTCTTCTTCACAATAAGTGTGATTTTAATTTCCAAATCAAGGAAAATGAAAACCTTGATGGGATAATGGGACCATTATATAGGTTGAAGTTCTATGCCCTAATTAATTTAATTTGATTTAATTTAACTTTAGGAAATATGAAAAGCGGTGAGGTTTTTAATTAGGCCTATAACTTTAGTCTGTCATTTGTCAAACATTATATTATACACCATCGCTTGAAAATTAATAAGGTCTGCTTCAAACACACATGCGTCTGCCTTTTGATCATTCTTTTAACTTGATTCGCTTAATTTAATTAATTATAATCCCAGTTTGCTTTAATTTTATATGCTTAAAGTTCTAAAATTACTTTTAAATTCATTTCAATAATTTTAACCAGGGAAGTCGTATTTAACAGCTTAGGTATATATGTTGAATCTTAGCTCTATCTATTGATCAACGAAAACTAATTATTCAAATAAGAAGAAGAAGTAGAAGATCAGAAGAAAAATGAAATCTAATTAAATAATTAATAACTATTCATTGGTAATCCTTCTAACATAATAATAATAATGATAATATTACCATCATCATCAGAGAGTCGGTCACGAGAAGAAATGTATTGAAACTTTTAAAATTATTAATAACCTATCAGCTTAGATTGTTGGCCCCATAGATGATCTTGAGTTTTTAAAATCAGAATAAAGATCAGTAAAAATATGTTTGAAGGATTATGTTTAATTTATTTTTTCTGTTTTAATTTGTTGTTTATAGATGATCTTGTTTGTAAAATAATTAGATTTTTCATGGGTTCTTATTGTGATTTGAGTTAAATTATAGATTTTTGTCGCTATATTTAGAGTATTGGTGTGATAATTACATCTTTTGGACTTCAGATTAGGATTTTTTTTAGATTATGATTTTTTTTTAATACCACAAATTAAACTTACAACATTTGGGATTATGATTATTATCCCATACTCTTTTGTCATGAACGGTTGATGGAACATTTGACAAAGTTCTATTAGATAAATATTTAGATACAATTACATGATTTGGAAATTGGAGGTAGACATAACCGTGGTTATTAAATTTGTGTTTGGGTCATGGGTGATTAAGGTTGAGTTTTAAAAAAAATAGAGGTAAAATAAATACGTATAATTTTCACATATTTCAAAGTTTAAAGTTTAATAAAAATACCATAATCCAATCCAAATCTAAAAAGTATACTATTTTATAAATAAATAAATAAATGAAAAGTTTTGACATTTTTATAAATCCATATTAATTCGATGTCATTGGGAATCTCTCAAAAGAAAAAAAAAAGTTAATTACATAAATAACATAAAATAAAGGAAAATACTCTCCTCTCTACTCACTTTGTCCTCCCCATACAACTCTCTCTCTTTTTTTTTTTTTTTTTACGTTTTAACAACTCATTATTTTTCTATAAGAAGGGTCTATTTTTACATTTTTCTCTTGATCAAACATTTAATGGGGGAGAGGAGTAGAGGACCATGTTGGCCAAAGTATTTTTTTTTTTAATAAATATGTATATTCAAATATAGCATAAAGTTTAAAATTTTATAAGATTAGTGTAATCCAATTAAAGTCTAACTTAATTGCAATATGTATAGTACACTAAGCTAAAATGTAATTGAGTTATATCCAAGTCAAAACAAACATAGTTTAGTGATAATTGACATATATCTGTAATCAGAGGTTATGAGTTCGATCCTCACTCCTTCATGTTGTACTAAAAAAAGAATATTGAACTACATCCAATGGAGTGTCCCGTAAACTTTTTAATTAATTTGCGTAACAAAATATAAAGTAAAAATCGCTAAGAATATACACCATTCAAAATCTACAAATGTGGTCTAAAATTTTAAAGTTGAAGGAACAGAACCCAACCCACAATAAATACATTCCTTAGATTCCCATTCCCACTGCCATAGCAACTTTGAAAGGAAACGGATATAGGAAGAAGGTTAAAAGAACAAAAAATTTTATTGGGTTAATAACAAGTCCAAAATGGTGTACTGCTGAAGAATTAGTCATCCTCATCCTCTTCATCTTCCTCTTCCTCTTCCTCTTCCATCAAAGCTACACATTTTTTAAACAAAAAGTCTTCCATTAAAGCTGGGCCACCTGTTCTCTCTCTCAAAGTACTCTTCATCAGTCAGAGGCCTAAGACTTGACCTTAAACATTCAAACTTCAAACCCCTCAAAACTCAAAACTCAATCCTCAATCCTTACTATAAATTAACCAAACCCCAACAATCTTCCCTCTCAATCCATCACTACTTCTTCTTCTCCTTCAACAACTCAACAACAACAATGATGATGATGGCAGCTGATGATCAGTTCGCCGCCGACGACTGCCAATTTCCTCTCCCCGGGTNAAGAACTTGTCGGCTTTTACCTCCGCCGCAAAGTCCTCAACAAGGCCGTTGCCGCCCAACTCATCAAACAAATTGACATTTACAAATACAGTCCTTGGGACCTTCCCCGTAAGTCTTAAATCTACTTAAGTTATTTTTTATTTTGAAACTCTAGTTAAGTTTATAATTGGGTTTTGGATTAAAATGTGTGCAGATGCGAGTAATGGGCTGGGGGACAAAGAGTTGTACTTCTTCTGCAAAAGAGGAAGAAAATACAAAAACAGTGTGAGGCCAAATAGGGTGACAGGTTCTGGATTCTGGAAGGCCACTGGAATTGACAAGCCAATTTACTCACACACCCAACATTGCATTATTGGGCTTAAGAAGACTCTGGTTTATTACAGAGGAAGCGCCGGCAGAGGCACTAAAACAGAGTGGATGATGAACGAATTTCGCCTCCCTTCCAAAATTTCCACCACAAAAAACAACCTTCAAGAAGCTGTAAGCTCACCAAACTTGTAATTTGAAGCAAGAAAAAAAGTGGGTATTGGTCAAAACTTATGTTTTTTTCTGTTTTCTTGATGAACCACAGGAAATTTGGACTCTGTGTCGGATATTCAAACGAAATGTGTCATCCAAAAAATTAGCCGTGGTTCCGGCGCCGGCCAAAGGCCGAGCCGTGGAGGACATGAACTTCGGAGCGGCGGCAGCCAATATTGGGATCGATAGATATTCCGACGATAACGAAGAGAGTAGCTACATCAGTTTCGGGTCGAATTCGTTTGTTGGTTTCGATCACGTGAAGAGGGCTGAAAATTCCGGTGGGGTTGATCAGATGCTGCAGCACGGTGGCCGATTCGTCGCGGAAATTCCGCCGTCGGCGGAGCCTAATTGGTCGGTAAACGTGTCGCCGGCGTCGTCGAGCTTCTCGGATTTTGACGAGGATGCCACGGATTTGTTTGGATATGAAAAATGGGAAGAGCTGAAATCAATTTTGGAGTCTGATCTTGATTCGTGAATTGAATTGTCCTTTTGACTTTAAGTGCAAATGTCAATATGCAAATGGAATCGGAATTTTAGAGTTTAAATCATTATTATTTCTTTCTTTTTCTTTGTAAGAATGAATGAACGGATCGATAGTGAATTTTATTCTTCATTTTTTGGGTCTAGTGATCTATTTACAATTTCCTCCTTTTACTTCTTGATTTGTGTTTCTTGGTCTCGATTTTCAACACCTTTTTTCTTTTTAAGGAATTCTCAATTCAACCCCTTTTTTCTTTTGGATTCTTCGAAGAATTCTCAATTTTACTTTAGGTGAAATGTTAACGTAAAATATATATCTTCTATATTTGATATGAATATCGATATATATGTTACATTACTAAAGGAATCAACAATACTAATAGACCTGATAATGAACGTTGATATTACCTACGAATATACTTGATATGAATGTTAATATACCAATTATACACTTAATATGAATGTTGATATATATACCTGATTTAATATAACAATTGAGATATACCTAATTTAATATATCTAAAAATTCATAAGGGAAAGATCAAAATAACTGTTGAAAATTACTTTTCAAACATTTTGTCATATTTACAAAACTCAAATTGTTGCTATATTTGCCGATATGACAAATATTTTAGCTATCCGCTAATACAAATCATTAATGAAAAAAATTAAACTGATTAATTATTTAAATTACTTAGAATAGGTCCATTTGAGAATGAAATAGGATATGGGACATACATAGAATAAACAATATAAAAGAAATGAAAATTAAATCTCGAGTCTCTTTTTTTTTTCTTCTTCTTCATTTTCATTAAATAAAATTGGAACCTTAAGAGATTAAATGAGATCGTCAAAATATATTTTTTAAGAATCAATATATATAATTAATGATATGATATCTTTGAATTAAACTTTTATTATTCAAAGAAGTGAATCTAAAAGCAATTATTCATGAGTTCATAAATTTTTTAATGGATGTGAAGGCGATAGTCATAGAAAATAATGTGACTTCCAAATTATATATAATATAGTTTTGTCATGACATAAGAAAAATTTGTAATTTGATGTCCCAACGAAAATTTAAAATAATAGCTTTTCCAGAACATATTTGATCCAATTACTTGTGGATATAAAATTCATATATTTTCTTTTCCCTATATGAAGTCTTAAATATTTTAAAATGTATTTTTTCCATATATAAATTATTATTATTTGACTTAAATTATATGCTTAGTATATGCATATAATTTAAATTATATATATTATATATATAAGTAAATTATATGCTTAGTATACGCATCAATAGACTTTTACCATAGCCAAGTTACATGTAGCCACCGAATTAAAATTTGTAGTTGAAATGTTTTTTTCAAATATATCTTATACTATATATTATTGGTCCAAAAATACTAGTTTTTTTAAGAGACAAAAATACTACTTTAACTAAAATCTGTATTTGGATATTTTCATAGAAATATTATATACCATGTTGCCGTAAAAAATTCATTAAAATTTTTATTGTGAAAATGATTTTGGTAATATACCATCGAGGGAGAAATAAAAGGTAGACTAGAGCATTCCCTTCAGGTAAAAATGATCAATATTTTATCATTAAGGTTGGAACGTTAATCGTCTGTTTGGTGACATTTTCGCTTTTTTATTTTGTTTCTCATTTTAAATAAAAAAAATAGAATGAGAATATTATTCTTTTTATATTGTTTAATTGAAACTATATATAATAGAAATCAAAAATCAATTCATATGGTTTACTTCGATGAAGAAATGAGAATAAGACATTGTTATTATCAAAATATTATTTTATATTCTAATTAATTAAAATTGCATTAACTAATTAAAAAAAATACTATGAGAATTTTTTATATTAAACAAATTAGATACTTAAAATAACTTTCAGTTATATTTTATATTGTTTTATTTAATTGAAGTAAATTTTATCTACTTTACTTGCTACAACGCAATTAATAACTCATCATATATTGTTTAATAAACATAGTCATGTGATTTATACGGAAGAGTCCACCACAAATCAACCAGCTAAGCAATGGTTATCGAGAAGTAATTTTTCATTTGCATTATATAATGCTCAACTAGTTATGATATTTATTATGTTTAATAAGTCATAAGTTCGAATCTTAATATCTAATATTTACTTTCTAATAGATTTTTTTTTTTGAAATACTGGTTTAGAAAATAATCATATGTATTTAATGAATTATAGAAACATACTTTTGGTATCGAATTAAATAGAATTAAAAAAAATTGTATATTGATCCAACTTAATTTTGTTGAAAAAAAATTCGATTTTTATTGAAATTAGTGATCTTTTTATACTGCCTTCTTGCTAAAATTAGAAGGTGAAGTAGTAAAAAATTAAGCATAAGTTAGAAAAGAAAATTATAACATGAATCTAAATTTATGGTTGAATTTTATGAAATTGATACAAGTTATATTTTTTTTCTAGAGATTATTGATAGGTCGTATGTACAAAGAGAGATGCTTGTTTAAAATAGAGAGGAGCTAGATAAAGGAGGGTGAGGATAAAAGTGGAAAATAAAATTGGTTGTGATATATTTTTTTTAGTATAACATATGGGGAGGAGTTCATACTCACAGTTTCTTAACTAGAAATATGTATCATTACTATTAAGTTATGATCGTTTTGGTCCAACATAAATTTATATTCTTAAGTAATTTTAATCTTCCGAATGTTAAAAACTTAAACCTTGCCATTTTTAGCTTCATCTACTCCATGAAAAATAAAATAAATGAAACTCAAATAAAAATTAAGATGACATTTTCCATTTAATCAATTAATAAGAATGATTAGTGATTACTAATCGTGGCCAAATTATAAAATTAATGTCTTGCTTTGTGATTTTTTTTTTCTTCTTGAAATATTTACTTTGTGAATTGTTGTTTCGAATCTTTTTCTCGGCAATGTTGTAGAAAATAATAAAATAAAATAAAAAAGATTAATTCCTCAATGTTTGCACTTTGCACTTTGCCCTAGGTCTTTCGCTTTCTTCTTAATACGCCATGGCCAAATAAACTCTTAATTTCTTGTTCCTGCGCTCGCCAACTCCTTTCGCCATTGTTGGAGCTTAAAGTCTTCAGCCCAAGCACCCGATTTTCCCTATCGGTTGCCTAAGAGGTAAAACAACTTGTTTCTCACTTCCCCCTTGGTTTTCCTCATTTTCTTTTTATTCTTAATGTTTAAAGATTGAAATCTGATTCAACTCTAATGACCCAATCTGGCCATTTTCCGAGCTGCCTCTTGCCCTGATCGACGTTGAATTCATATGGTTGTTGGTGAAGTAGTACGTTAGATTTCATTATCAAGGAGATTTTGATTTCAGATCAAAGAATTGTGTCTAGGATGTTGACCCTCTAGTTGGACAACCCAATTTCCGTATCGTGCCTCTCCTGATATTTCGGAACAATCTTTGAGACATCACTATAACTTGCCCTTTTCTTTGTGTTCTAATTTATCTCTAATTTTGAATCTGTGTTTCTCTGCCCTTTCTTTTTGTCTGTTTTTGTTTTCTTTCTTTGTCATTTCTTTTTTTTTTTTTTGGTTATGTTNGAATAATCATCGGAGTATAATCAGATCTCTGGTTTCCTAACCCACCGGTGTGGAAGTGGCTAGAGCTGAAAAGAATTGATGCCCTTGATATTAATGAGTTTCTTCCTAATTGTAGTGGTCGTTAATTGCCCTTTCACTGGATTTATTTCCTAAGTTATTGTCAGAACTAAATATTGGACGCCATTTGGGTGTCTCCAATTTGATAATCTCTAAGCAATTCCTGAACAGATGAGGGAATGCTACCGGTTTGTCTTGCTAGCGGTGGTGCTTACATGGTCTGTGAGAGGCTTAAATGCTAGTGCAGGTGATATTGACCCGCATTACAGGTACTTTTCGTTTTGTCGGAATTTTCTTTGTATTTTCTTCATCTTTATTCGTACTAGTTAACCCTGGAAACCTCAATGTTCCATCATATAGATGATTAATATTTGTATTACCTAGTTCCCCTCCCCCCAATTGTAATCTTGATTTTCCTTTTGTATTTCTGTGATCACCATTTACGTCACCCGTTATTTTATTTGCATTGTATAAAGAAATTGAATTTGACGCTAGGCTACTGTTATCTAGTTTTTGTAATAGTTTTTTTTTTTTTTTTTATAGTTTAGTTTGTTAATTTTCATTAGAAAAGAATAGTTTAGTTTGTTATGAGACTAGCTAATGCAAGTTAGTGTTCGACCCAGCTTCTTTCCTAGTGTTTGTATGGTGGCTAGCTAATTTTGTGCATCCAAGGTTTCTTTAATTCATTCTTGTTCATAGAGGTTAGATGTATCAGTTTTTGTGATTGTTTATTGTTCCTAAAATCTTGCTCATATTTGTCTTCATTGATTGACGGTAATTCTTTTGTTATTCTAATGAGTCATACAATTTCATTTAGTAGCGCCTTCACAAGTTTAGGAATCTCTTTTAAAAAAAGTACTTTTCTGCTTTGTTAATCATGCCCATTTAATTCTTTGTTATTATCAATATCATAATTTGACTTAATGAATTTCATAGATGAGGAAATTATGTTGATGTTTGTATTTGCTGCAGGACTTGTGTTAAACAATGTGAAGAAATAGGATGCATTGATGAGCAGTGCTTTCCTCAGTGCAAATTCTCTCGAGATGGTGTTTCCGTTGACCAGCCATGGTATATGCAAGAACCACTTTACTTAAGGTGGAAACAATGGGACTGCCAAAGTGATTGTCGTTACTATTGTATGGTCAAACGAGAGGGTGAAAGAGAAGCACTTGGTTATCAGCCTGTTAAATATCATGGTAAATGGCCCTTCAAGCGTATATATGGGATCCAGGTTTGGTTCATCAAATTACTCAAGCAATTCCTTATTTGAACTTATAACTGAAATGATACTTATTCGTATTTGTTATTATTATTGTCATGCATGATTTTCCCAGGAACCTGTTTCTGTAGTATTCTCTGCCCTCAACCTTTCGATGCATTTCCATGGCTGGCTATCCTTCTTTATCCTTCTCTATTACAAGTTACCTCTGAGACAAGACAAGAAGGCATATTACGAATATGCCAGTTTGTGGCACATTTATGCACTCCTTTCAATGAACGCTTGGTTTTGGAGTGCTGTTTTCCATAGTCGGTGAGCTTTTTAATTTTGTTTTCATGAATTATTGCAAATATCACTTGTTCATATCTTTGGCTTCAAAATATTTTGTTTTTGAATAATATTAAGAAAATTTCAAACAAACTCATTATATACCATATTACAATTTTAAAATTTCTCATCTATGTAAGCATGCCCTGATAGTTATTACGTGCCATTGAAGTGCAGTGATGTGGATCTGACAGAGAAATTAGATTACTCATCTGCTGTGGCACTGCTTGGATTTTCACTCATTTTGGCAATACTAAGAAGTTTTAATGTGAGGCATGAGGCTACCAGAGTGATGGTTGCTGCTCCTTTGCTTGCTTTTGCACTTACGCATATCTTATACATCAACTTCTATGAACTTGATTATGGTAATGATTACTCTTTTTAACCCCCTTCTGCACTCATGATACAATTTCTCATAAGCCTTAATTAGGTGAACTAATAATAAGTTGGACTTTCAACTTTCAATTGTATTGAGGTACCAATCGAAAACGTCGATATTTTTGCAGGGTGGAACATGATTGTTTGTGCAAGTATCGGCGTCTCCCAACTTGTCATTTGGGCAATCTGGGGCGGTATCAGTGGTCATCCTTCTCGCTGGAAATTGTGGACGGTGGTTGTGGGCGGTGGCTTAGCACTACTACTGGAAATCTATGATTTCCCTCCATATGAAGGCTTTGTGGATGCTCATGCGCTCTGGCACGCTTCTACCATTCCTCTCACCTATCTTTTGTGGAGTTTTGTGAGGGATGATGCTGAGTTCCAGACCTCCAATCTTCTTAAGAAGTCTAAATAGTCTGTTTCCATTTGGGGTGTCTGTGGAGATTGCAAATTTTCCCCCCATTCAATTAAAACTGGAAAGGAAAATTAGGCATTGCTGTATAACAAATATTCCATTTATTGGAGGAATGAGAGGTCAGAACACCTCTTTTTTTTTCACTCTTTCTTCCTCCAAGTTATTTTAGTGAGAGCCTTAATTGTAGCAGAGTTTGGTTCGGAAACTTTTAACTTTTTTTTTTCCTTTTTAAGATTCACCTCCAGTTGGTTTAAGCTTTGATGGTGCTGGTGATGTAGAGCTATCAGGATTTTGTAGATTTAATATGTTAATGACTGTTTTTAACCGATTGAGACTATATTTTTATTTATATTTGGTCATATATTAGTTAGTAAGAATGTTTTTAAATAGCAACACAATATTTCAAAGCTTAAATTACAAATTTCCATCTTTGCTATGTTTAGTCTATCATATTAAGATGACAATATGTTGGATAAAAGTTAAAACTTGAATGATATGACATGATTTGATGGATTCGATAATGATAGAAGTGATGTTGGACAAATTACAAATGAAGTTATACAATGTTTAGATTTAGTTAGAATTGGGATTGATTATTCGCGGTTGGATAAATTAAAATTTGAACTAAAGGGTAATTGTTGGTGTAATCTTGAAATGTCTATCATGCTGTCTATACTATTAATAAACATCTATCACTAGTAGATGTCTATTAGTAATGTACTATATTAATAGATTAAAAGACACACATGCGTTGTATACAAAACTAAAAGATGATTATATATAAAAATGTTTAAATTAGGTGTGTGGAAAATTATAAAAACATTGTCATAATTATAAAATCATAATTGTATTCTATATTTGTAAATATGACAATGTAACGTATTTCATAAAAATCGCTATCTACTATCGAGAAATGACTCAAATTGAAGCAGCAGTCAGGACAATTGGGGTGGAGGAATTTGAACTCATGACCTTTTTATTGGCCACTTAACATGGGAGCTAAAAGGTAACCAATAAAAGGTGGGGCAAAATTGAAATAGAAGGTATAAGAAGGGTCAAAAATGGAAAACGCCATACAATGTTGGATGTAGGAGTCGTATTTGGGCCCACAACGTAAACTAAATGGGCCTTAGCACTCCACCAGGCCCAGCCCAAAGGGGAAACCCTAGGTAACGTAATGGGAATTCTTTACTGAAGCCACATATATAAACGTTCCATTGCCACAGCCATTTTCTCTGCCTCTCGCGCGCTCTGTTTCAGTGTTTCACGTCTGTGGAGGCTTAAGGGAGTGCCTTCGTTTGCTCTCCCTCCGTTCATTTCAGGTTTTTTCTTCTTCTCTCCGATCTAACTGACTTCTCAGCTTATTCCATCGCATCTTTGATTCTACTTGTTTAGCTCTCGTGTTTCGCCTGCGATTTTCTGTGCGTGCGCCTTTACTGTATGGCTGGTGCTTGCAAGATCTGTTTGTTTAGTCTATATTTTCCGTTGAATTGAATAATTGAAAGAAATATTACGGATCGTTACTTAACCTGTATTGTTAAAGTTGGAATCATGTTTGGAATAAGGATGTTTATTATACCGATGGTGTTTTAGCTGATGAATTGGGTAGCCAGATATGCAGTTTTGCTTGTTTTCTATTATCTGGAGATGATATTTAAATTTCTGTTTGGCGTTATGGCTTTTGACTTCTTGTTGATGTTCGATCGGGTGATTTGATTATTTTGACGTTTGTTTTTAATCTTTTGACAGTTAACAATCTTATTCTTGGACATTGTGAACTTTGAAGACTTGTCAAGATGGTTAGTTCACTTTCCCTTAACCAAGCTAATTGGGTGATCTGAGTACTTTATTACTTCGTTACTTTGGTTATGACTTCATTAATTGATTTAACCTTTTCTTTATTGCGTGCCCTCAGGTGAAGTTTACAGCCGAGGAGCTTCGTAGGATTATGGACTACAAGCATAACATTCGTAATATGTCTGTTATTGCTCACGTTGATCATGGTAAGATACATAGCTGTGAATTGCACTCTTATGATGATTTGACTGTTGTTTGGGAGTTGGTTTTTTTAGCGATTATTTTTTATATATTTAGTAAATTGGATTATGTCTGCTTGACGATTTGATATGGCGTGGTTCACTTGGTTCTGGATATTTAGTAGCAAGCGGCTTATAATTATTACTAGACCATTACAAGGTTACTTATCCATCGACCATTTTTCTTTTTGAAACATGCTTTCGGGGACATTTGAAACCTATCCAAAAACCATTTTATTTCCTTACTATTATTAATTTTTTTTATGGAGAAGGGCAAAATTCCTGGACTTTTCTCTCACCTTAATTAGCTTTATGTGCATTACAAATGCCATTTTTTGGTGTCTTATTTTCTCCCTTTTTTTCACATTTTAGGAAAGTCGACACTCACAGATTCTCTTGTGGCTGCTGCGGGTATCATTGCACAAGAAGTTGCTGGTGATGTGCGGATGACAGACACTCGCCAAGATGAGGCAGAGCGTGGTATCACCATTAAATCTACTGGCATCTCCCTCTATTATGAGATGTCTGATGAATCATTGAAAAGTTACAAGGGAGAGAGACAGGGAAATGAATATCTCATCAATCTTATTGATTCACCTGGACATGTTGACTTCTCATCTGAGGTTACAGCTGCTCTACGTATTACTGATGGTGCCCTTGTTGTGGTGGACTGCATTGAAGGTGTTTGTGTCCAAACAGAGACCGTGCTTCGTCAGGCTTTGGGAGAGAGGATTAGACCTGTCTTGACTGTTAACAAGATGGACAGGTGCTTCCTTGAACTTCAAGTGGATGGAGAAGAGGCTTACCAAACATTCCAGAGGGTTATAGAGAATGCTAATGTGATTATGGCCACATATGAAGATCCCCTTCTTGGTGACGTGCAAGTGTACCCAGAGAAAGGAACAGTTGCTTTCTCTGCTGGTTTGCATGGTTGGGCGTTTACCCTGACTAACTTCGCAAAGATGTATGCCTCCAAGTTTGGAGTAGATGAGTCAAAGATGATGGAGAGACTTTGGGGTGAGAATTTCTTCGATCCTGCAACCAAGAAATGGACCAGCAAGAACACTGGCTCTGGAACATGCAAACGTGGATTTGTCCAGTTCTGCTACGAACCTATCAAGCAGATAATTGCAACTTGCATGAATGATCAGAAGGATAAGCTATGGCCAATGTTGCAGAAGCTTGGAGTTGTCATGAAGTCCGATGAAAAGGAGTTGATGGGTAAAGCACTRATGAAGCGTGTGATGCAAACATGGCTTCCAGCTAGCACYGCCCTCTTGGAAATGATGATCTTTCATCTTCCTTCCCCTGCAAAGGCCCAAAAGTATCGTGTTGAGAATTTGTACGAGGGTCCACTAGATGACGCTTAYGCTAGTGCCATTAGAAATTGTGATCCGGAGGGACCTCTTATGCTTTATGTCTCAAAAATGATTCCTGCATCAGACAAGGGTAGATTCTTTGCCTTTGGTCGAGTCTTTTCTGGGAAAGTTTCAACTGGTTTGAAAGTTAGAATCATGGGTCCAAACTATGTTCCTGGAGAAAAGAAAGACCTGTACGTGAAGAGTGTCCAGAGAACTGTCATTTGGATGGGAAAGAGGCAAGAAACGGTGGAGGACGTGCCTTGTGGTAA